GTCTGATGCTCAATGTGAAACTAAAAATAAATTCAAAGGATTACTTGTGATTTTGAAATTGTATTACAAGATAGCAATACCTCCTGAAATCACTATTAAACTTAATGTTCAAAGGTATGAACAAATATTTAAATATACAAAATATAAAATATAAAAAGGACATGTTTCCAATAAAATGAATAAATACTATGCTAACGATAGCGAACTGCAAGACTCGTGACCGATTAAATTAATGAAAAATGTGTTTCTGAAAACCAGAAAGTTTCGGAGTGCAATATTCATCGCGTTTCTACATTCAATATGCATATTAATATCGTTATTCTCGCAGGGGGCGGGGGGAAAATAACAAACAGAAGGAATTAATTAAACGTTAATTTCGCAGCCAATTAGTAAATCCAATCGCCCGCATTGTCGATATCGTTATTGTATTTTTCATCGGAAAAGACCGTGCCTCGAAAATATACCACGTCGAGATTGAACGTAGTGGAGAACCTATAATGTTTGTAATTATTACCCCGATACGCTTTCCGGAAATCGAGTTGCCGCGTTTCGAAAGTTTGTATTACTCGATCGACAATACCTCTACGAAACGCTGGATAACTGTTAGCTTCGAAGGGCTTCGCCGAACAATGAGAAACAAAAACAGTGCATACAAAGGAAAAAAGCATAACAATCGGAGAAAGTTTCCGCGAGATAATTGGAGCACGAATACGGGGTAACGATGTGAGTACCACTTAATGTATGTTTTCGTTTCCGCAGAAAATTAATCAAGGGACCGTCAACACTGGGGCACTTAAGGCGATTCGAAAGCATTTTCAGAAAGCTTACTGGTGTATTTTGGGTCTCAGGGTTGGGCGGTCTTGACAAGGGATGGAAGCCTTTTGTTATCAGGGTAGAGAGAGTTCAAGTTGATACTGTTCTTAACATGTGATATTGTGATAGAGTATTAAAATAATACAGGAGTCATGTAAGACAAAGTAATGATAAGAAGAATAGAAATATTAATTAAGAATAACTTTTAGTCTAATCACTATTGTATATGGTTACACACTTTAATAAATAACGGAACGGATATTGTGATATGATGTTTGTTGATTAGAATATTTGTTCTTCGTGGATGAACGGGTTACTGAAAAAGAATGCAACTAATATTTGACAAAGTATATAGATAATTCAAGACGAATTAATTAATTATAGAAATACCTGTAAATTGCTTACGTGAAGAGAGCCTCACTTTAATATGCATATACATGATATTTGATGAAATACGTAAATAATCCAACATAGATCAATTAATCAAGGACAAGCACGTATAATATATAATGAATTAATTCATTCCACTTATTGTTCTTAGAAAGTTAAGAGAATTAAAGGCGTCGACCTAAGAGGTGAACGTCAGGAATACTTAAGCCCTAAATAAAATAATAAGATTGGATATGCTAAATTCTAGCATTGGAATTACGTGTTCGTAATGAAAATTGAGTTCTGCAAAGGGGAGAACGTTTAGTCAACATGGGCTGCGCGGGAAGTTTCGAAGGCGTCTCTTTAACGAGTGCAAATTGGCGTACACTGGAAAACTGCCAAACGGCCGAATGGAGGTAATAAGATATTCCAGTCCGCTACCCATCGATTGTTGTAAGAAGCTCCGAGTGTCTTCCAAGTGTAACACTTTCCTGATGAGAGTCAATTTTCCAGAAATTTCCTTCGACCCTTCCAGACATAAAACTTCGATGCTCGCCATTAGAATATCTCACTTAACAAAGGTTGAATCGAAATTACTCTATCGCTTCGAATAAGATGTCCTTTAAAATTCTGATATATCTCTACTCGAATCGGAATTCGGAAGAGTAACAATTATTGAGAAAGTTTAACACACAAATAACTAAAGTCGAAATCATAATTGCTCCTCCTACGTTAATAATAATATTCTTTGTAATGTAGGTGAATATAATTTTTTAATGTTTCGACAAGTCTGAAACAAATCTAATCGAAATCTAAACAAAAAGAAATGCATGTCAAAGTTAGAATCCAATTACGCACAGTTCCTTAATTAATGTTCCTGCAGTAGTTACGGAACACCTAACTGGAAGATGGGGAATAGAAAAATGAGAATTTAGGTGAACAGTTAGAAAGGAGGACACCTCACCGAGGGAATAAACTAATTACACGTCCGTGTGCCGGGAAATAGAAACGAACCTGGCAGGAACAATAATTTATCCGCTTTATTCTTACCCGAAAGCGCTTGGAACGACAAATAATAATACGGTAACCCTATTTCGAGGCAGCTCACAGGGCGGAGTTTAAATTGGAAGGTGCCCCAGGGCGTCTCGTATGCAGTTAATGGAAGCTATATCCAAGGCTTGGATATTCTGTCCAACCTCCGATTGCAGTTAACTTCGACCACCATCCAAGTGGCGGTGGTGCAGTGTAGGCATGTTCGAAAACTCGTTTTGTATTATCTTTCAAAATAACGTTGTGTCTGTGAGATCCCCCCGTTTAATTACTCCCCTATCCACGCATTCCTACCTGAAGCGCCAGAAAACTTCTCCTAATCATTTTAGGTGCCAGAAAAAAGTCAAAATGCTATTTTACATTCAATAAAATTAACAAATTGCGATAAGTAGTACATCTTTATTCTTTGTATAATTCTTAAACATAAATATCCAGTCTCTACATCTTCATAAAGAACTGAACAACACAAGTACATTCTTCCCCTAGCATATTATGCACGCAACAGCAATCGAACTAAGAAAAAGTCCGAGATGCGCCCTGGCTACGTTGATTCCCCACCCTCCCATCTAGGGTGCAGGAACAAGAGGGAACGTCGAGAAAAGAGGAGGAAAATTTCCCGACTAAACATTCCGTCTGAAGCGCGTGAAGTCCTCGCGAGGAACATACCCCGAGTCGAGGTACGCGCGATTCGTTTCGAATCGAACGGGGATTTCTCTCGTTCCGCTTGAAAAACAAATAAAACTTCCGTCGCACTTGGCCAGGCTTTCTAAGACCCCCGCCATCGTCCCGGTGTTCCTTTCTTGTTATAGAACTTGCAAGCTCGGCCACGAGGGGTTACCGACCCGGACTTAATACGTACACTTATCACGCTGCAATGATCCTGTTAGCAACTTTTCCCTACCCCTTTCCCAACCCCTACTGGCCACCGTTCCATGGCGTAAGACAGCCTGAAAAAAAGAGAGACGATAGAGCCAGCGAGCCATTATTGGCTTTGGAAGCCACGAGAATGCTCTGTTCCGTTCGACGTATCCTCGCACCGACAGGTCAAACTTCGTCCGAGGCAGAATGTGATGAAAAAGATGCGAGACGCTGGTATCCTTTGAAAGCTAACTGGCTAGGCGAGGCTGGTAATTTATTTTAGAGGGTGGGGAAAGACGAGTGCGTTCCCCTTCGATGGATTCGGAATTTGCTTAAAAGCGGATAGCCGATTGGCTGTCATAAAGTCGCCTGTTTAACGAAGACTCCACAGAGTCGAGTGGCCAGTTTAATTTGATTGAATTGCGCGAGGGTATTCGAGGTGTTTCAGGGGATTTTTGAGGACCGTGACCAGACGGACGGAGTCTACCTGGTCGCCCTCTAGTTTGGATCCATTCTCGAGGGTATGCCAAACATGGACTAAAGCGCAACAACATGATTTTAATTAATGTCAGACTCGATACTAGTGTTTTGTTTATATTAAACAGTTTTATTTTAAGAAAAATCTGAGAATATTAAACTAACAATAATTCTTTCTTATTCAATGTAGTAAATCACTCACTTAAATACTATTCAAATAAAAATAAACAAATTTTGAGATAATTTATATAAACCACACAATATCTAAAGAATAAAATCTCTGCCATGCTTTCTGAATAGCAATTAAATTCAAAAATCAACAAATTCAAAAATTTTTACACTTCAAAGCTGAATCTTTGCCACCTTTGTTCTTTTTAAAACTGCGAGGATCCGAAAATTACTCGACTGAAGCCTCCTTCCTCCCCCAATATCCATTACCTTCGAAATTATTGACGTCACGAGGCTCCAGTGGCTACTAAAATTACCTCGCCCAATTAAAAACTCACCGCGACGATATTTTAATCGCGACCAGTCGATTTTAATTGCGTTCGCCATCAATTTACGATCAATATAAGGATCGCGGCGTTTCGCGCGCCTAATTGAAATAATTACACGCGACGTGGCCGATCTGATAATTAAGAGACGCATCGGAAACGAAGACAAAGTTGCGGCTCGATTCGTGGCCGGGAACGATATTAAAAAAAAATTCTATCAAAATTTATCGGGACGTCGACGAACAGAAAACAAATTTTCCGCCCGAGGCGACGATTTATTCCCGCGTCTAATGATGCGCGCTACGCTAATTAATTAACACACGGACGGTCGTTTAAGAATCGACCGGTTCCCAGTTTGTTCCTCGATAATTACATGACAAATTTTAATTAATACACCGTAATTATCGTGATGGGCAGCGATCACGTGTGAGGGGTCGAGAGGGAACGCTGAGAAACGAAGAGAGGGTGTTAAGGAACGTTTTGCTATGCACGGGAGGAGGGCTAATGGGATAGCGATTGCTTACCGTGTGAACGACCTTATTGATTTTGGTAATCTTTAAGTGCGAAGGTGTCAGAAGGTGATATTGGAAAAATTGGCCCTCTGTTGTTTTCCAATTCAATTTGTCCTTATATTTAAATCTCTTGCAAAACTCTAACCTTGTAAGATATAAAAATGTTTATTCTTTATTTTTTTCTACTGGTGAACCTATAAAAAAAAACAACACTAGGATCCCAATCTTTACTTGATACCTGAAAATGTCGATACTTTATTTTCAAACGAACTAAGTTGAAAGAATGGAACCAGAGTTCAGTCTTTGAAACTCCGTCAAGATGATCTCATCTTGAAGTAGAATTTCCTGGTCTTCATGTCCCGAGGGACACAAAGAAGCAACGGGAGGAAGTTCCGCGGCGCGATAATAAGAAAATTGCTGAACTTACCGACATCCTTGGAACCACCCCACGTCCCCAGTTGCGCCTGGCGTGCTAATCGAGACAATGCGTCCACGTAGACGCGGGATGCGGCTGCGGCACCTGGAAAATAATGAAACACAGGGCGATTGTAGCGGCCGAACAGCAGGTGTATCGCGACTTCCCGTCTCTTTCCCCCCTCCGTTTTTCTTCGGCGATAATTCAACGGCTCGCCCGCGCGTACTATTTAATTAAAGGGGGACCGCGGAGAGTCTTAATCACTTGGAAATTTTATCGATTCCCGCGAGCGAGGGACTGTTTTAATTTCTGTTGGGGCGATGGTTAACAATCGCCCGACTCTTCCATTCGATTCTTAATTACGCCCCGATGCGTGTTAAGGTTACTGTTTTCTAAGCGAGCGGCAGCTGCTTTGCGCTGCGGTAATTTTCTCATTTCTTTAATCGATTAATATTCAACGACTGTTTTCCTTTCGATCGAATGGTGGAAACGCGCTGAATAACAATGGGGAGGAGTTTATTAACTTTCTCTTGGCGATCGTTAGTCTGTGCCCGGAGGGTATTCTTGCTTTTTTGGCCTTGAATGCTTTGCTTTAAGACGTTGACTGTCAGAATAAAATTCGTGATAACTTCTATGGAGTTAAAATTTTGTATCGTGACTATTGAAGATTAGGTAATTCACATTAGTAGTAGTATTTTATTTGTTAACCTCTCCAAACTCACAAATCCTATCCAGATTTATTTTCATTGTCGCCTCACTTTTGGAATTAATTTTGTTATTCCTATAATAAAAATGTATATCTATGTATAGTTTATTAACATTAGAAACTCTGAGCCATGTGGTATATCACAGTAAAAATTACAGGAAATTTTTATAAATTTTCAAGAGTAAATTTCTGGTAAAAAATTAATCAACGAAAGCCATCGATGCTTGAAAAGAACCAAAATCATACATTTCCCAAAGACAATAACCTTAAAAAACCCTCTCTTCATTCAAAGCACTGTATCGACTGAGATATTTCATACCTTGCGATACCGCCCCACTCTTTGTCGAAGAAATAACGAACGAATCGGAGGCGTAACTGCAGATTACAGAAAACTTCATTAACTTTTTCTCTACGGCGCGCATAACCATCCCTACAGCGTGTAACGAAAAGACCGAACAAAAAGCTACACGCGGTGACCGAGGAGGCGAATAAAAACACCGTTCGAAGTGCTCCTGTTATCAATAAAGAACGATCATTTCCAACGAAAGCTCCTCGTTAAAATCTATGGGGCAGAAAAATTGGGACGGAGAACACGAGCGTAGGGGGCGGTCGAAACGGAAAGATCGGTGGAAATTGGCGGTGTATACCTTGTTTCCTGCGACGGAGGATCCCTCATAAATACGGGGAAGTTGTATAGTGCCTAACTGGCTGCCGTGTCATGGGAATAAAAACGACGAAGGAAGGAGGAAAAGCTCGGACAAGAGTGGCAGGGCAGGAAACGTGCTATATCTCGAAAGGAACTTGTATAAAAGTAGAGAGAGGGGGTTGTTTTATGGCGAACTAGTGAGCAGACCGTTGCCTGGATGCCCTCTGAATATCACGGTATGTTCATCCTAGAGGAAAGTGGACACTTTGGATTTAACTGTAATGAATGAGCCGAGACGAAAAAGCACCCGAGGCTTTGTTCGAACGAAACGAAGAATCAAGAAATTCCTCTGGCTTTGTTTGAGAATATTTCTCCGCTGGAAAACTGCGGACTTTTCACTCGAGTGTTTGCTTGACTTCTGGAAATTTTTTTCAATCTGAACCCATGTCAATCAAACGCATACCCGTGCAGTGGATATGTTAATTTGTCCAGAGTAAACCTGTACAGTGTGTATGGTATGCAGAGAGCTGACTAGATCACATTATATATATAGCCTAATTTTGTTGATAAAATACAATTTCAGAAAAGACGTTGTTTATGTATATCTTATTTTTATTTTTACATTATATACATGTTAGAAAAACAATGTTCTATCAGCAGAATAGGAGACATTGTTATTTAAGATTATTTAAGAATCGATATATAAAATGTGGTTAAATTGCGTTGGGTTACATATGATCATATATCTCTTGAATTTTACCTTAAAATCTCAAAAGATAAGGCGTTTAATAAAGTGTTCTTTCATCGTAGTGTTTGACGTTCTCAAATAATCACGTCTTCTTTCGGTCATTTTTCCTTGCTATAAGAAATAAGTATGTTAAAGATAACCAACCCTTGGGCACCATATGTGTATGTTCAGGAAAGGTACAAATGTAAAGATATTTTTCGGGATAGCTGGAAAATTTGCTCGGTGTGGGCTACGTTCTGTGAATTTAAAAGAACCCGCTATAAATTCTGTTTGCAGAGCAATGAAGAAATATGGAATCGTACATGGTTACAATAACTTTCCTGTGACGTTCACGTTTCCGTGAAAAGTAGTAAAAACATACTCAGCTACCCTCAGGCCTTCACCTCGTTCAATATTCGAGAAAGTCTAATAGACGGGAAATTATCCGGGAAAATATGTAATTTTATGAAATGTCAATGTGTCGTAATTTTCTTCCGCAGAATATTATAAAAGCTGAATATTAAAAAAGTCACAGCTTACATTACATCTCTTATCTTTGTATACAGTGGTCAGATGAAATATGTAAATCGAATAAAAAATTATCGAAGTAATATTCTAAGCACGGATTAATGAAAAAAAAAAAGAAAACAGGTGAGAAAAATCGAAAAAAGATTGAATATGTACGAAAATTGTGGTTGCTATTTTTTATTATAGAAAGTTTCTCGAGACATTCGAACGACAAAATAAATCGCACTTCGTCTTGTTTCACCCTTCACAATCGTGAAACTCCTTCCTGAAAGACTTTCTGCTCGAATGGGGGATAAAAAAAGGAAAACGAAAGGACTGATCCGGTCTTCCCATTACGTTCTTCTCGAAGAAAATCGTCTGTCCTTCCCATTCACCCTGTTGAGACAAAAGCAGGGCATTAGACGAGAACCCTGTCCGAATACCAATGCGTTAAACAACCGAAAAGCTTCAGTCTTGCCTCATACCCTTCGCTATAATCCCTCCAGTTTTGTTCGAGGAATCGCATTAATTATGAACGCACCGCGAATCAGAACCTCGAACTTGTTAAACCGTCCAAAACCCTTAAGCCTTTTCCACTTCTACTAATTCGTACCTTTAAATATTCGACGTTATTTCTGCTGAGAGCAACTTACTAAGTCATTATCGACAATTGAGTCGAAATCCACACGATTCCCCTAAATATACTTGATAAAACAAATGTAAATCATCCCTGAATTTGGATTATCTTCAGTACTGTGTGATCGCATTTTCTATATTGAAGACAATGGAAATGAATTAATTAATATATTTGTTTTCAATATAGCAGCTGTGTATTTCCACACAACTTTGCTATTCTATCCTCAAATAAGTTACCTAATCTCTTATCCAATTTTTTTCCCACTCACATCGCCTTGGTAAATAACAATTTAATTTTACCAGCTCTCATACAACACATATTACAACTAGAAAATCACACAAATGTCGTACAAACAGTAATCGCGCCACCTCTATTCCACGCGAAATAGGCCAAACTCATTAGTCGTGTTTTAGAAATCACAACCCCGTCAGTGGAAAACAGGTGGGAATTCAAACGACCTTGAACCTTATAACGTCTATCACCTGGTGCGAATTCCATCCCGGTTCCTGTTCCATGTCCGAAACGCTTTCGAGTGATGGCGTGCCTGCCCTCGCCGGGTTGCGGTGTTAATTGTTGTTCTCGGTCGTTCTCGGTAATTACACACCGTGCCACGAGCAAAGGCCTCGTTCGCCTTCGAGTGTGCAACGCCAGCAGACCTCCGCTACCGTTGCAGTTCACCGCTGCACCAGGATTTGGGCCAAGCATTCCGTAATATGAAATTAATTATCAATTACTTTCGAATTTTCCGCTCCTGGCCGAGATAATCTCGTTTCACAGTTTGCATTCGAAGTTGGAACTCCAAAGTAAGTTAAGCATTCCAAATTTTAGAGATTTAGAGGTTCGAAGAGAATTGTTTAAGTGGCGAAGACACCGTTGTCAAACCTTTAACCCTTTATGGTCGATTTTTGCTGGAAATTCTAAGATGCATAGAAATGTGAAGTTTAAAAAAATATCAGCTTCTAAAGAATAACAAAACGAAACTTGTTTATATTTACAGGTTATTTATAGGACGTTAAGTTTCAGAGATAAGAATTGAAAACTTAGAAGATCTTTTTCCTGAAAAGATATTTTTGGAACAAACTTCTAATTTTCAATTTTTATTTTTGAAACTAAGGGTTCAATGAATAAACTGTAAATATATAAAAGTTTAGTCTCATTAATCTTTATAAGTTGAAATTTTTTAAAAATTGATTTAATGAATATAAATGTTTCTCTGAGCCCATTTCTCGAGGGCGCATATATACGCTCTTCGCAGTCAAAGGGTTAATAAACTTTTTGCATCAAAGACATTCCCTTAATTTCACTCTAACAAACTCATACTGACTTCCAAGCAAGGGAACAAAGAAACCTTTAATGACGCTGTATTCCTCCGAAGAAATTCATTTGCATCGTAAAATCGGTTTCCATGAGGAGGGACCGTTTAAGGGAAATCGCTCGGAGTCCGACTTTAAGAGTGGAGATCGTGGAAGCGCGGGTGGAAAGAAATTTTCCGTGACAGCCGGCCCCTCTTCGGAAATGAAGCGGAAGCGAGACGCATGTAATCAAGCGAATGTCGACGCGGAATTTCGAAGAGGGGTGTACCCGATAACGGGTGGCTTCGCATATGACGCGAGGGAGCAGATTTTCAGAGTATTAGCAACCCCTCCAGTAACCGCCGACGGCTCCACGCGTCTTTTATAACGGACGCACCGGAGAATTCTGACTTTACACGAGGTCGCTGCGTGAATGCCTCAGACTGGGGTTCCGCGATCATTCTTCTTTTTGCACTTCCTCCTCTGATTCCCTTCCTTTCAACCGAGCATTCGGTTTTCCCCTGCTCGCGATTTCACTCCGTGAAAACGTGTCTGGCTACCGCGGTACTCAGATTCCGTGATAATTGCGT